CTGCTGAAATATGCCCACCCCTGCCCATTACTGACTGAGACAACCCCAGCAGGTTTTGCTGTAGTCACCTTTCAGCTTTGCCTTTGTCACAGTTTTCATGCAGCTCTGCCTGTGTCGGACCAGAAGGTTCTCATCAGTGGAGGCTGCAATACCAGAGGAGCCCTGCAGGATGCATTTATCTTCCACCTAGGTGAGTGACTCTCCATACCTGCTGAAGGTGACTATGGGCTGCAGTGATGTTTCTGAACATTTAGTCTGGTCCATTTGTTTAATCTATTGTACTAGGAATGGGCTTGTAAATATTGATAGCCGCTTTCTACTTCAGATACTCTTTCATGGAGCACAGTGATCCACCATGACCTCTGCTCTGTGCCCCGAGCTGGCCATACGTTGCTTGACCTAACTCCTGCCTGCCTGATGGATGTGGACAAGGAGAATAAAAAGGAGCATAACCTGCACACAGTGTTGGTCTTTGGGGGCTCCAACTGTGCTGGGACCTTCTACAACAGCACAGTCAAGATCCAGCTGGACCTAGGATAATGCAGAATACTCAGAATAAGCCTGGAACAGCAAAGGCTCTTCACCAGCCTGAATACAGACATGGATTGCAATAAATGAGTCCAAGCAATGTAGCAGTCCAAGTACCTATATGTAGGTGAATGCTTTCATGATCACAAGAGATTCTGAAGGCTGTGGGTATTTCCCTCTTAGGGTAGCTAAGCCAGCACTGGACTGAGAGATATTCCCTCTGACATCCCTTGCTTTGGTATGTGGGCTTGGGTGCCAGAACATTCACTGGGATCTTAGCTGAGCCTGCAGAGGAACACAGTCACAGGCTTCTGGGTTTCCCTTCTTGCCCTACAGGTTTTCTCGGCTGGAATTCTCAGCGTGCTTTCAGCTCTGAAGGTAACTCAGGTTTCATTTGGGATGAGTGGAATGGGATTTACTCCTGCTGCCCAGAGAGTCCTCACAGTGAAAGTACAGGCATGATTTTGGTTTGGAGGAGATCAGGTGGGATTCCCTTGGGTGACAGCCTGCAGCAGTGTTAGGAAAACACCTAGTGCAGTGTCTGAGGAGGGCAAAAAGAAGAAAACGCCATCATTTTCAGCATATGGGAGAGAGCTGGTTGTGTCTTGCTCTGTCTTGGCACAACCACCTCGCTTTGCTCTAGGCAGACCTTTTATTATGAATTCCACAAGACTGCTGCTAGATATAAGAGGTACAAATCAACTGTCCTTGGCAGTAATTCACTTGTCATTGCAAGGAGTAGCAGAGTTGCTGACAGTTTGCTCTTGCAAGACCCGTGAGACCCAACAAGAGTTAGGATTAAGCTGTCTTCTGTTGGAGACTAGCTCTGTTTATATCCATGGCACTGCTGATTATACCATAGCTCTGAGGCAGCTGCAATGACAAGCAGACCTGCTAGATTAGTAGCACACTGTTTACACTGGTTCCCTGATGCTCTTTCTGTAGATGGTAAAGAAGGCCAAAATTGGTGCAGTACCTCACAGCTGTCTGTGGCCACATTCCCCAACTCAAAGCCATACAAAGGGGACTTGTGATAATTATGCTTCTGCTTTAATCTGCTTCATGGAGATACACCAGATAGATAGATAGGAAAAACACAGAAGTAGCTGCAAGCTTTCCAGCACAGGCACAGCTTGTGTAAGTCAACCAGGCTACTTCCAGGTCCTCTGTTCTTCTTCCCACCCAAAAGAAAGTGAGACAATAGTACTAGGGCTTCCTGCTGCCACTGAAGTCCTACTCAAGCTTTAGCTATTTTCCTCTTTAACACTCCAGCTTACTTGATTTAATGAGTAGGACTGGACTTCAAGCTTGCAGCTCTGCAGGAGTATCTGGCTGCCGGGATGGGTGGCTTACTTTGAATGCCTCTAACTCCAGGAGAGCTTTGTTTATTCTGATTATTGTGGGATATGGACCCATGTCCACTTTGAATCTGCAAAAGGAAAAGAATTTGTGATCTACTATGAGTTAGACAGCCAGTGCAGCAGTGAGCAGAAGAGCAGTGTGCTGTGCCTGCCCCATATGGGAGAATCTTACAATTCAAATGTACAATTGCATTAAGAGAAAAGGTTCATCCCTTTAAAAACAAATGCTAGGGGAAAGGTTAGTTAGTTCTATCTTCACTAAGCTTTACATAGTGTGCAGCACAGGGTAAGAAGGCACTATGCTTTTCTTGGAAATCATGCAACCACTACTTGCATAGGTTTAAGGCTTTCAGTATAGTCAGATTAATCTTTCCCCACTGTGCAGTGTAAATATAGGGCAAATAGGGTGTTGTGGTTTAAGCCCAGCCGGTAACTCAGAACTACACGGCCACTCGCTCACTCCTCCCTCTTCTTCTTCCCCCTGCTCCTGGAGGGACGGGGAGGAGAATCAAAAGAATGTAACTCCCACGGGTTGAGATAAGAGCAGTCCAGTAACTAAGGTATAATACAAACCACTACTGCTACCAATAATAATGATAAGGGAAACAACAAGGGGAGAGGATACAACTGCTCACCATCTGCCAACCGATACCCAGCCTGACCTGAGCAGTGATCTGGGCCTTCCAGGTAACTCCCCCCAGTTTATATACTGGGCATGACGTGCTGTGGTATGGTATACCCCTTTGGCCAGTTTGGGTCAGGTGTCCTGTCTCTGCTTCCTCCCGGCTTTCCCTCCTCCCTGGCAGAGCATGAGACTGAGAAAGTCCTTGGTCAGAGTAAACATTACTTAGCAACAACTAAAAGTGTTGTTCCCAGGCTGAAAGTCAAAAACAAAGCACTGCACCAGCTACTAAGAAGGAGAAAAAATGACTGCTACTGC